AGAGACAGGGTCTCACCATGTTGACCAAGCTGGTCTCAAACTCCTGGGGCTCAAGTAATCTGCCTCCTTCAACCTCTCAAAGTGCTGGTATTACAGGTGTGAGCCACTGCACACAGCCATAAACGAATTATTAATTATAGATTTTAGCAGATTACTCCTCTTTATTTTAACCAGCTAGAATTACAAAAGGAGATCAGTGCATAGTTATACATAGCTTAATGAGGGGAATACATTCTGAGAAATGTGCCATTAGACTATTCGTTGTGTGAACACGATAGAGTGTACTTACACAAACCTAGATGGTGTAGCCTGCTATATACCTAGGCTATATGGTATAGCCTGTTGGTTCTAGGTTATAAACCTGTATAATGTGTTACTGTACTGAACACTGTAGGCAACTGCAACACAATGATAAGTATTATATTTGTGTAACTAAACATATCTAAATATAGAAAAGGTATCTTTAAAATACAATATTATCATCTTATGGGACCACTATCCTACATGTGATCCATCAGTGACTGAAATGTCATTATGCAGTGCATGATTATATTTAGTTTCCTTCAAAAGGAATTTTAGAAATTAAAAATAAATGAAAAACTTCCCTTGAGATTAGGGGTTTATCTATGTTTCAGACAAAATTGCTGGGTTTTTAATACAGAACCCAACCTATTTTGATTCTGTAAAGTACAATCAATGCATATCCCCCTCATCTAATTGCTTATAAATGACAGGAGTGAGCATATGAGTTGGTTAGAAAAAAACTAGATTAGAAAAGATAAACATGTCTTTCTCTGTAGGTCTGCTGAAAACTCATCCCCAAACTATAGAAGTACTTGAACTAAAACTTACTTGAGAAAAGACAGTAACATTTGCCACTAATAAATAAAACACAATAAAGAAAATAGCTTTATATTTTATAATCTCTGCATGCGGGGCATCTTAAAACATATGTGCAAGAACAATTCAGTACTAAATGGTTCAGTACAGAGGCTGCGTCTAAATGTTTCCTCACAAAATGTCTTTTTGGTCTTGGAGAACAACAAGTCATAAAAGAAAACCCAATACGTCTTTATAAAATATCAAAATTCAATCTTAAAAAAAAGAAATAAGCATAAATGAGATTCCACTAAAGATATAAATTACCATCCTTTCTTCCCAGTTAGTGTTTAAAAAAAAAAACAAAACTTTTATTGTAATCTCTTCTGCAGTTCCGAGAAAGAAAAACACAACAATGGTGTTAGGTGAGCAAATACAACATTTTTCTAAAGACATATGCTAGATTCCAACAGTCCTCATGGCTTGGATCCCACAGTGATTTATGGCCACATATGACAAGATTTCAGTCTCACAAGTAAAGCACTTGATGTTCATCTTTTGGACATAAAATATTCACCTTAAAGCTTTCTGCATGTTTTTACAATGGATTCATGTTTTATTTTTGCAAAATTTTTACTTGTGTTGGAAAAAACATTCATGACAAGCAAAGTAAGTGGGTTAGTAGTTCCTACTCATTTGGGCTTTGCAGATTTCCATAAATGTATACTGCCTTAGTTAGTTCTCTATTACTTTGGCTTCCTCATATCCCAAAGGATATTACAATATATATTGTGGTTTAGAAAACAAGTTTATGTATGTACTGAGCTGCTGATTTTCAAAAGCACTTTTTAGACCAAAGAAAAGTAATACAGACAAACTGAGCAGGAAAGAGAAATTTAAATGGGGAGTGGGGGAAACAAAAGAAATCCACCTTTACTAGTTCCTGAATAAGTAATCTCAAGCACTCTACAAATTATGTCAAGTAAAAGCAATATGCCAACATATACTGAATTCTTGTTGTAAAAATATGATACCAAGTTCTATTAACACACCAAATCCAATTATTCTGGCTACCTTTCACACAGTGGTTCTCAACCCTGAATACGGAAATCATCCGGGAGCTTTAAACAATAACAAAACCTACGTTCAATCTCCACAGATTCTTAGGTAATTGGTCTGGGGTATGGCCTGAGCATTAAAATTTTTAAAGCTTTGAATGTGATTCTTATGTGTGACCATGATTGAGAACTACTGCTTTAAAATGACATAAACTGAAGACAGTACTTTAGTTGCCCTGGATACACAGATAGACATACAAACACACCAGAGTTCAACAAAAACCTGGTCACCCTTCTTGGAAGCAACTTCTTGATATCCTAGGATCATTAATTCTCACAACCTCATCCAATGTCAGCAGTATGAAAACAACTTGATATGGGTGCCTATAGGTGTTCTAAAAATTGGGAACCCAATTTAGCAAAGTATTTCATAAATAACACTGACCTAGAAGCTAGCATAAGTACTAACCAAGAATCCAATTCTCACAAAAACATTTCCTGTAGGATGTGGGCTATATATTTTACTGCTGGTCTAGGTTCTATTATTGTTTACTTTATTATTTACAACTTTTCTTGACTTCATATATTTGTATTAAAAAGGATTTTATGGATTAAAGTGCAATATCAATCATTTTCATTGTGACCATTACTTTAATACTTTACTACTATTTACCATTTCTTTACTACTGTGAAGTATGTGATGTACAATAAACTGCACATAATAAAGTGTACACATCCATGAAATAATTGCCATGTTTTTACATTTTTTTTTTTTTCGATAAAGAGTCTCACTCTGTCACCCAGGCTAAAGTGCAGGGGTCTGTTCTCACTGCAACCTCCGCCTTCCAGGCTCAAGTGATTATCGTGCCTCAGACTCCTGGGTAGCTGGAACTACAGGCATGCACCACCATGCTCGGCTAATCAGCCTCCCAAAGTGCTGGGATCACAGCAACTTGTAACCTAGAAAACTACGATAGTATTAACAAAATAATATCATAGCTTTCTGGGAGTCTTGAAATAGACACATATGTTTTCATGTTCTTGCCCATATGTTAAATATAGACAAAATGAAATAAGCACTACTGGCAGGATAAAAAATCAATAGCTGACATAAATGGCTGGTAAAACTTAGATATGCAAGTATACTTACTACACTTTTCTAATCTGTTGGGTATGTGTGTGCATAAAAATATCTGTTATATAACATAATGGTTAAGAGAACAGACTCGAGTTTTTTGGTTTTTTTTGAGACAGAGTCTCACTGTTGCCCAGGCTGGAGTGCGATAGTGCCATCTCAGCTCACAGCAACGTCTGTCTCCTGGGGTCCAGCGATTCTCCTACCTCAGCCTCCTGAGTAGGTGTCAAACACCGCAGCCAGCTAATTTTTGTATTTTTAGTAGAGACGGGGTTTCCCCATGTTGGCCAGGCTGGTCTCGAACTCCTGACCTCAGGTGATCTACCTGCCTCAGCCTCCCAAATTGCTGAGATTACAGATGATTACAGATGTGAGCCACCATGTTGGCAAGAAAACTGACTTTAGGATCAGAGAAACTACTCAACAAGTACAAGTAGCACTATTTTATAATACTGAATAAAAGGTGCCCCAAATTTTATTTATTTATTTGTTTTTGAGACAGAGTCTCCCACCTGGGCTGGAGTGCAGTGGTATGATCCCTGCTCACTGCAACCTGCACTTCCCAGGCTCAAGCAATTCTCCTGCCTCAGCCTCCTGAGTAATTGGGAATAATATAAGTGCCTGACACCACGCCCAGCAATTTTTTTTTTTTTGTATTTTTAGTAGAAGAGATGGGGTATTACCATGTTGGCCAGGCTGGTCTTGAACTCCTGACCTCAAATGATCTGCCTGCCTTGGCCTCCCAAACTGCTGGGATTACAGATATGAACCACCATGCCCAGCCAAAGAACAAAAAGTTTCAATGAATTCTCTTTTTTTTTTTTTTTTGAGATGGAGTCTCACTCTTGTCTCCCAGACTGGAGTGCAGTGGCTCAATCTCGGCTCACTGCAATCTCTGCCTCCCAGGTTCAAGCGATTTTCCTGCCTCAGCCTTCCAAGTAGCTGGGATTATAGGCACCTGCCACCACACTTGACTAATTTTTGTATTTTTGGTAGAGATGGGGTTTCACCATGTTGGCTGGTCTCAAACTTCTGACCTCAGGTGATCCACCCACCTTGGCCTCCCAAAGTGCTGGGATTACAGGCATGAGCCACCACACCCACACTGAATTATCCTTTAAATTAAAATTAAAGTTAGTACAGAAATACAAACACTGAAAAATCTAAAGAAACTAAAAAAAAAAAGTGTAAGAAAATCTGACAGCTCAAAATACTCTCATCGTTAAGAAGAAATACATTTCTATTGTAGGATATAATAGAAGCACTTATTTGATTATTTATCTGAAAATAAATGTGATTAGCTAATTCAGTGACCTGGATTTTCTCTTCCTAATTACCAGTTTCTTTTCTTCCCCCAAAAGACATAAGCCAGATCATTAAAAGTCTGAGCTGGCAGTCTCTGGAACACAAACTGAATGACTTCAAGAAAAATCATATAAACATTGAAATTATCTGCTATCATGACTGCTGAAACTGTTGGGAAAAGAAGCACTGCTCTGTACATAAGATTAAACTGAGAATTATTTGTGAGCTCAAGGACAGAGATTGCACATTTAGGGGTCTTCAGGAACCATGTATTAATGTAAATTAAGATACATTGCCTCCTATACCTGATTGATTATTAAAGATGACTGGATGAGACTGTGTTGTTTAATCTGAATTCTTCGTCTTTATTTATTATCTCTATTATTGTCTTGGAAATTCTGAACAAATGCCAAGGATATTGAGATCTAACCAAATGCAGCAGTGGCCAGCTTCTGAGCAATCACATTATTGGCCCACTCTGTTCTTCTGAGACAGCTGCCAGGACCTGAGGCTAGTTTCTAGACACTGTCCACAAGTGAGAGTATCCAAATTTTCAGATGATTCTACCTCTGAAAAGAACAGTTTCTTTTCCTGTTGCTGTTATTATATAAAATCAGTCTGAATGTACAAGCTAACATATAATGAAAAACATAGTTTACAAAGGAAAATTAAGTTGAACTTACCTGTCCATATTTGCCTAATTCCAGCTCTATAATGGCAACAGGCATGTGTATTTGAGCTGAGTGCCTTGACTGAGACTTGCCATCAACTCTCCAGCTCAGGCCCCGAAGCCCGCTATTCCAGCGGCTCTGGTTCATAAGGCTCTCACGGATTTTTGTCTTGTGGCTCTTCCAGAATTTAGAAATGACAGCAGCTTGGTCAGATGTGATCCCACCTTGCTTTTTGGTTTGTGCAGTCAAGTATGCCTCCAGCTGGTTGAAATCCATGTCTGCAGATGCAATAGACTGTAAAGATGACAGAAAAAGCAACAAATTTGGATTTAGTAGGTAACTAGAAAGAGATAGATTCTTAACTAAAGATCATATTTTGAGTTCTCTTAAATCACTGAAACAGGCCAGGCACAGTGATTCACATCTGTAAACTCAGCACTTTGAGAGGTCAAGATGAGATCACTTAGGTCAGGAGTTCAAGACCAGCCTGGCCAACATGGTAAAACCCCATCTCTACTAAAAATACAAAAATTAGCCAGGCCTGGTGGTGCATGCCCATAATCCCAGCTACTCAGGAGACTGAGGCATGAGAATCACTTGAACTAGGAGGCAGAGGTTGTGGTGAGCCAAGATTGCGCCACTGCATTCCAGCCCAGGCGTCAGAGACCCTGTCTCAAAAAAAAAAAAAAAAAATCACTGAAATAAACTTTCAAAAAAGGTCATCAAGGGACACTAAGGAGGCCAAGCACAGTGACTCACACCTGTAATTCCAGGACTTTGAGAAGCTGAGGCGGGAAGATCACTTGCAGTCAGGAATTCAAGATCAGCCTGGCCAACATGGTGAAACCCCATCTCTATCAAAAATACAAAATTGGCCCATGTGGTTACACACAGCTATAGTCCCAGCTACTCAGGAGGCTGAGGCAGGAGAATCACTTGAACCTAAGAGGCAGACATAGCAGTGAGCTCAGATTGTACCACTACACTCTAGCCTGGGTGACAGAGCAAGACTCTGCACTCAAAACAAAAGTGGGGGGGGAGGTATGGGGAGGGGGCGGACAGTAATAAGAATAAGCTCTTAATAAGCACAAAATGCTCCCTTTGGAAACATCAAATATCAGAAAAGCTACTGTTAAATACTCTGTGTCACTCAATTTTGTATCAGTAACAAGAATATAATTTTTAAATATCCAGTTCTACAGCAGGGAGATAAAATGAAAAATTTTTTAAAGTAATAAAACAAGTCAGGTACGGTGGTGCGTGCCTGTAGTCCCAACTACTTGGGAAGCTGAGGCAGGAGGACAGCTGGAGCCCAGGAGTTCAAGTCTAACCTGAGCAACATAGCAAGACCCTGTCTCTAAAATAATAACAGTAACAATAAAACAAATGAATAAAATTAATTGGTTGTCTGATAAAATCTTACATAGTTTCACAGTGCCTTAGAGCCAGGCTTGGTTTGATACGTTTCAACTGTATAACACCTTATCCATATGCAGCACTAAGTAAATTTTGTTAAGTGAACATATTATCTTAGCTTTGAAGCCCATCTTCAGTCAAACAGCTCATTCACCGTAATACTACTGTGAAATTATATACTACTTTATACTTTCCCATAAAGTTTCAGAATTTAATTGCCATTGAATCTGGGTACTCTATTCTAGCATCCAAGAAGACACAGTAACTAAATATAAGCTCAAGCGTAGTAACACGCCTTAAATTTGTACAGTACTCTTTAGCTTACCATAGCATTTTCACATCTACAGGTGTACTTCATTTTATTGTGCATCACTTTATTACGCTTCACAAATACTGCGCTTTTTACAAATTGAAGGTCTGTGGCAACCCCATACTAAGCAAGTCTACTGGTGCCATTTTTCCAACAGCATATGTTCACCTTGTGTCTCTATGTCACATTATGGGAATTCTCATATTTCAAACTTTTTCACTATTATTTATATCTGTTATGGTGATCTATGATCAGAGACCTTTGACATTACTATTGGAATTCTTTCAGGGTGCCATGAACCATGCTCATAGAAGACAGAGAAACTAAATGATAAATGTTTGTGTTCTGACTTCTCCAACCACTGGCCATTCCATCTCTTTCCCTCTCTGCAGGCCTCCCTATGAGACACAACAATATTGACATTAGGCCAATTAATAACCCTAAAATGGCCTCTAAGTATTCAAATGAGGGTAACATATATCTCATTTTAAATCAAAAGCTAGAAATGTTTAAGCTTAACGAGGAAGCCAAGATAGGCTGAAAGCTAGGCCTCCTGTGCCAGATAGCCAAGTTGTGAATACCAAGGATAAGTTCTTTAAAGAAATTAAAGGTGCTACTCCACTGCACACCCAAATGACAAGAAAGCAAAACAGAGCCTGGTGCAGTGGTTCACATCTGTAATCCTGGCACTTTGGGAGGCCAAGGTGGGCGGATCACTTGAGATCAGGAGTTCCGAGACCAGCCTGGCCAACATGGTGAAACCCTGTCTCTACTAAAAATACAAAAATTAGCTGGGCATGGTGGCGCATGCTTGTAATTCCAGCTACTTGGGAGGCTGAGGCAGTAGAATTGCATGAACCCAGGAGGCGGAGGTTGCAGTGAGCCAAGATCACACAACTGCACTGCAGCCTCAGCCTGGGGGCTTTTTGACTCCATCTCAAAAAGAGAGGAGGGGAAGGGAGGGAAAGGAAGAGGAGGGGAGGGGAGGAGAGGGGAAGCATAACAGCCTTATTGCTGATATGGAGTAGGTTTTGGTGGTTTGGACAGAAGACCAAACCAGCCACAACATTCCCGTTAGCCAAAACCTAATGGAGAGCAAGGCTCTAACTCTCTTTAATTATATCTAGGTTCAGAGAGGTAAGAGAGCTTACAGAAGAAAAGTTTGAAGCCAGGTTAGTTCATGAGGTTTAAGGAAAGAAGTTGTCTCCATTAACACAAAATAAAGCAGCAGGTGCTGATGTTGAAACTGCAGTGAGTTATCCAGAAGATCTAGCTATTTGATGAAGGTGGTTACACTGACAAAAAATTTTCAATATAGATGAAATAACCATATACTGGGGAAAAAATACAATCTAGAACTTTCTCTTTTTTTATGTGTGAGCTCTCACAAAATGGGACTTTCACAGCTATAGAGAAGTTAATGCCTAGCTTCAAAGGACAGGCTGACTCTCTTGTTAGGGGCTAATGCATCTGGTGACTTGAAATTGAAGCCAATGTTAATTTACCATTCAGAAAACCCTACGGCCCTTAAAAATGTTGTTGAAACCTATTCTGCCTGTGCTCTATAAATAGAACAAAGCCTAGATGACAGCACATCTGTTTACACCATGGTTTTAAGACCACTGTGGAAACCTACTGCTCAGAAAAAAGATTCCTTTCAAAATATTACTGCTCACTGACAATGCACCTAGTCACTCAAGAGCTCTGATGGAGATATACAAGGAGATGCTATTTTCATGACTGCTAACACAGCATCCATTCTGCAGTCCACGGATCAAGAAGTAATTTTGACCGTCAAGTTTTTTAGCATTTTTTGTTTTTGTTTTTTAAATACATTTTGTGACCAGGCGTAATGGCTCACACCTATGATCTTAGCACTTTGGGAAGTCAAGGTGGGCAGACTGCTTGAGCCTGGGAGTTCAAGACCATTCTGGGCAACATGGTGAGACCACACCTTTACAAAAAAATACAAAAAAATTAGCCAGGCAGGGCGGTACACATCTGTGGTCTCAGCTACTTAGGAGGCTGAGCTAGAAAGATCACTTTGAGCACAGGGGATCAAGGTTGAATAAGCCAAGATGGCACCACTGCACTCCTGCCTGGGTGACACAGCAAGACCCTGTCTAAAAAAAAAAAAAAAAAAAAAAAAAAAAAGAACGAACGAAATACATTTTATAAGGCTATAGGTGCCACAGGCAGTGATTAATAGATCCAGGAAGAATAAACTGAAAACCTTCAGGAAAGGATTCACCATTCCAGATGCCATTAAGAACATTCATGATTCAGAGAAGAATGTGAAAATATCAACATTAACAAGAGTTTGGAAGAAGTTTATTCTATTCCCTCATGGATGACTTTGGGGGGGTCCAAGACTTCAGTGCAGGAAGTAGATGCCTATGTGGTGCAAATAGTAAGAGAACCAGAATTAGAAGTGAAATCTGAAGATGTGATTGAATTGCTGCAATCTTATGATCAAACTTGAATGGATAAGATGTTATTCCTGGCTGGGCACAGTGGCTCACACCTGTAATGCCAGCACTTTGGGAGGCCAAGGTGGGCAGATAACGATGTCAGGAGTTCAAGACCAGCCTGGCCAGCATGGTGAAACCCCGTCTCTACTAAAGATACAAAAACTTAGCTGGGCATGGTGGCGCACACCTGTAATCCCAGCTACACAGAGGCTGAGGCAGGAAAATTGCTTGAACCTGGAGACAGAGATTGCAGTGATCTGAGATTGCACCATTGCACTCTAGCCTAGGTGACAAGGTGAGACTCTGTCTCAGAAAAAAAAAAAAAAAAAAAAAAAGAAGTTACTCCTTATGGATGAGTAAACAAAGTAATTTTTTTTTTGAGATGGTATATAATCCTAGTAAAGATGCTGTGAACATTGCTGAAGTGCAACAAAGGACTTAGAACATTCTAGAAATTTAGTTGATAAAGCAGCAGGGGGGTTGGAGAGAACTAGCTCCAGTTTTTAAAGAGGTCCTATTGTGGGTAAAATGCTATCAAACAGCATGGCATGCTACAGAGAAATCTTTCATGAAAGGGAGAGTCCATGGATGCAGCAATCTCCTTGTTGTCTTAAGAAATTGCCACAGCCACCCCAACTTTCAGCAATCACCACTCTGATCAGTAAGCAGCCACTGACATCGAGGCAATTCAAATCCCACTTCTGACACACACACACACACACACACACACACACACACACACACACGTATTTAAAAAACAAAACATCGAGGCAAGACCCGCCACCAGCAAAAAGAATATGACTTGCTGAAGGCTCAGATGATCATTAGCATTTTTTAGCAATAAAATTTTTGAGTTTTTTTGGTGGGCGGGGCTGGGGTCTCACTCGGTTACCCAGGCTGGAGTGCAGTGGCACAATCATAGCTCACTGCAGCCTCAAACTCCTGGGTTCAAGTGATCCTCTCACTTCAGTCTCTTGAATAGTAACAAAGTATCTCTTAATTAAGGCATATACATTGCTTTTAAAGACACAGTGCTATTACACACTTAATATAGCATAGTATGGTATGGTATGGCATAAACACAACTTTAATGTACT